GGACTGAGCCCCCCAGGCGCCCCTCTGTGTGCAAATATTAGCAGCCAGCCAGGGGCGTGGCAGGACACAGCATGTGTGCAGCCCTCCTCGGCCTAGGTCCTCTGTGTTAGCCCCTTCGGTGACCCCGCAGACCCACGGTGACCTTGTGGTCCTCTGAGACGTCCAGATTAGCTTTTTACCTGCTCCCTCGTTGTGACCCGAGGGGCAATGTTTTGGAACCTGGCTGTGAGAATGCCCCTCTGCCTCTGTCCCTCATCCACTTGTAGACAACGTGGCTACAAGGGGGTTATGGTTGGGGTCCTGGACTGACTCTGACCCAGGCCTTCGTGGTCCAAGTGCTGGGCACAGATTCGCAGTGGACCGGGATGGTGAGTGGGGCCAGGCTGGATTTGTGAGGTTCGGTCATTTGGTTTGACCTCATACTGGACCAGGGAGCTGGGCCACAATCTGGGTCTGGGCTAGGGTTCTGCCCTGGAAGAGGGTGTCTCCTCCCTGCCTGTGAGGTGGCCTGTCGGCCGCTTTCCCTCCTTCTACATATGGGAGGACTGGCGCCAGAGAGCTAAGGTTGGGGGGCCCAGGAAAGGACCCCCCACTTCTCTGCAGCTGAGGGCAAGTGCATCTGAACAGTTTGGGTGCCTCGGCTGCGTGCCAGGGTTCCCAGAGCCTCAGGACACACACATCCCTGACCTCCCCAGACACCCTTGGCCCTGGCTGGGATGACCTCGTGCCTTAGGCGGCTTTGTCTAGAATTGTGGGCTCCCAGCAAGACGGACTTGGAGGGGATGGGGAGACCGGGCAGCCCCCACCACACGGCCCCTCCTCTGGCCCCTCCCGACCTGTCTGCAGGTAAGCCCAAGGTCTGAAGGAGGGTGTGGGCCAGGCTGTGGGGGCCTCCCAGCCTCTTGGTGGCTAGTGGCACCCCCAGCTGATGAGTCCTCCCGGAATCACGAGCAGACGCCGTGGGAGAGCAGCGTGACCTCGAACAAGTTCCCCACCTCTGTGGGAAACCACCCCAGTGGCCTCCTGGCCTTTCCAGCTGCTACTCCAGGACCGGATGGCTCCCCCACACCCCTCCTGGGGACCACAAGGGCTCTACGTGCTGCCGACTGGTGCTGCTCCCGGCCCTGGGCCTGCAGACCCCAGGCCAGGCTCTCCTGCCGCAAGCCGCCTCCTCTGTTACCCTGCGCGCGTGCCCACATCCTTCTCAGCTGTGCCCTGTGGTGGGGAGGGCTTCTCCCAGCCCACGGGGACCTCTGCTGCTCCCAAGGGCTTGCTATTGGTGCCTGCCACCTGCCAGTGGGACACCTGCCAGGGTGAGCGTGTGCGTGTGCGTGTGCGTGAGGGTGCCTGCGATGGTCGGTCTGTGTGCTGGAGCGTGAGTGTCTGTGAGTGTGTGCGTGAGTGCAAACGCAAGTGTGTGATGATGTGGTTGTGCACGTCAACGTGCGTAACATGCGTGTGCGTGTCAGAGCACACAAGTGTCCGTGTGAATGTGTTCGTGTGCACATGAACTTGATGCGTGTGGGCGTGAGCGAGTGTGTGGGTTTGTTTGTACCCGTGACTGTGAGTCTGAGTCTGTGCTGGTGTGTGGGTGCGTGCGTGTGCATGAGTTTGCGTCTCAGGCTATGGGTATGGGTGAGAGTGTGTGCACATGCCTGAACGCGTGAGCTCACGCATCACCCTGCTGCTCCTCGAGCCCGGAGCCCCTGGTCCGCGCACGTCTGTGCCCCGCCCGGCCTGCGTGGTGCCTGCCCGGCCTCCTCCCCCTCCCCGGGGCAGCTGCCTCCGGCGGCCACTGGGTCTGAACACAGGAACAGAGCCAGCTGGGTCCCCACCGAGTGGTCAGGCTTACCTTGTCTGAGTAGATGGACATACGGGTGGTCAGCCCCAGGACGGGGATGCGGTAGAAGCCGGCTGTGTAGGAGACGGGGGTGGGAGTGAAGTGGTCGTTGGGGGTAGGTGGGTGGCTAACTAGGATGGCGTAGACCTGTGGACACAGGGGACAGGGTCAGCGCACGTCGGGGGTGAGGGCGGGGCGGGCACGGCACTGGAGCTGGCTGCCGGGAAGCAGCAGAGGCTGACTCAGCAGGCCGGGGGTGGGGACAGGCAGGGGCGCCGACTGTGCACACATACAGCCCCAGGGGACACGCTCCCAGCCAAGGGGACGGGACCCTATAACCACCCTCAGAGGAGAAACAAATCACAGGGGTGAGCCGGAGGCAGAGCCGGACTGCAGGGTGCAGCAAGAACACAGAGGGAGGCGACCGGCCCCTCCCCACACCTCCCCTGCCGGGGCCTCCCTTCACCCTCTCACACTGGGCGGGGGGGCTGTGCTGGGTGCGTGGTGAGACCCTGACAGGGAGGGTGAAGGACTGTTCTTGTGGTGGCACGCACCGCCCCCAGCGTGGGCTGGGGAGAGTGACTGGTCCCGCATCATGATGACAGGCACACCCATGCCACCCACTGGCCCTCCTCCTGGGTGCGAAAGCCCGTAGTTCAGAGACTGGGAGGAGCTCCAGAAGGCTGCATCTAAAGCTGCACATTGAGCCTTGTCTGGAGAAGCCAGGCAAGGAGCCCCTGGAACCTTCCGTCTTTTCGCCAGTGTCTTCCGGGGGCCGGCTGAGCCCCGCTTAGTTTGGAGGAGACCCAGTGCTGATTTTGAGCGCTGGCCACATCCTCACGGAAGGGAAGGGAGGGGCTGGGGGGGGGCAGCCCAGCTTTCCTGCCCAGACCGAGGCCCCCGGGGGCAGGTCTGAAGCCAGTGGCTCAGCTCTCCAAGGCAGAGAGGTGGTGGGGGGAGCAGATGTCTGGGTGATTCCACGCTACCCTCACGGGGAGGACCTGTTCTGTCCCAACTTTGCCTTCTACTCTCTGAGCAACGGGGTGCCCCCTTTCCTGCAAATGGGGTGGGGGTGGCAGGCTCTGGACCCATCTGGTGGGGGCGACGGCTGCCATGCCAGCGTGGCGCTTGCCCATAGGTCGCGCTCAGTGAGTGGCAGCTGCTGTCACCTTTGCTCTTGGCACTGGCTGTTCTCTGAGGGAACAGACTGTGTCCTGTGAGTTGCAGGAGGGGCCCCCGGAAAGGGCCCTACCTGGACTCTCTAACTCTACCTCTTTATGTCTCTCCCTCATCCCGGATGGGACGTGTGACCAAAGCCGCCAGCCACAAAGGCGTCACCCAGTCGTCTCTGGTGCTCGGGGCTGGAAGCGTGGGGTGGCTTATGAGGTATGCAGGGGGGGGGGCAGATTTCTGAGCAAAGCTCAGCCCTGTCCTGTCTGCAGCTGGAGCTGTGAGGACTGGTTATCCATCCCAGGCCGTCCCACCAGTCTGCACCCAGAAGTTCCCGGTCCGTGTCTGGATGAGTCTCTGGCCATGCCAGTGCCCACGAGTGTGTGCGGGATGTGCATTGTGTATACATTTATGGCCCAACATGTCCATATGTATACTGTGTGTGTGTGTGCACGATTGAGCCCGTGTGCGTGGGCACATGTGTTTGCACGTACACCTGGGTATGCCAGGCAGTATGTGGCACATGAGTGTGCGTGTCCACGGATGTGCACGTGTGTGTGGGCAAGTGTGTGTGAGTATGTGAAATTGGCTGTGTGATGCTGATGTGCGTGAGTGTGTGCTAATGTAAGTCTGTGCGTCTCTGTGCGTAAACCTGGGTGTAAATGCGTGCGTGTGTGAGTGTGCGTGTCCACAGATGTGGTGTGCCTGTCAGGTGAGCAAGGAGAGCCTCGTTTGGCCCCGTGTCGGTCCTGGCTCTTACATAAAGGGCTGCATTGCAGTGCTCCTGTGCTTTCATTGGAATTCAGCAGGCAGCACGGCACAGGGGCGGACAGCTCTGACAGGCGAAATCCCAGAAGCCATGTCCTCCCCCACAGCGCTGGCTGTCGGCGGCTGCCATGCTGGGCCCTGACACCTCCCACACGCTCAGCCCCCACTCCCACCCCACAGAACACCCTGCTTCGACACCTGGGCCGTTTCCCATCTCGGGCAAACCCACGGATGGGGGGAGGGGGAGGAGGAAGGGAAGGAGGTCTAAAAGCGGAGACAAAGATGGCCCCGGGGCCTGTCCTGTTTCGAGACCCGCGCCTAGCGCGTGCTCGCGGCTGGGACAGCATCTCTGCCCATAAGCCCAGAATGCCCGCCCCCTCACTGACACAGTGAGGAAACAAACCACGAAATGCTTGCCACATGTCTGCACACGCTGGTTGGGATCTGGAGCCCTGGAACCCTTGCGGGGACTGACCAGGGTGGCAGGTGACCAGCTTAGGGGAGCAAGATGGGGAGGTGGCGTTCAGCTGCTAGTGAGACCAGCTTGCTCCAGAATGAGCCAGCTCACTTACGACGAGTCGTCTCTTAAGAGGGCTGGGGAAGGCTAGGATGAAACTGGAACAGTAGGAGGGAAGATGGTGGGGAGGCGGTGGGGGAGGGGCAAGA